ATCATTAGAATTCGCAATTTGCAGTTGTCGATGCAAGATTTAAAACGTTTTAGGGGTTGGTTATAAATGCGCTATTTCTTAGATTCAGGCGGTATTATGTGCCTACTCGTCGTACAACTTTGTTTTTGATTAAGTAAAGCGTTGTAATAAACAATAATAAACAAAAATTATGTTTTAAATTGTAGTTTAGCAAGGTATAAAGGGGAATGTCCTATAATTGGCAACCCATCCGATTTGAACCCTCATATCTTGCCGACAATTGAACCAATGCTGCGATGTTATTTATTCATACGCTATGAACTAAAATATCAAAGAAATAGTGAAAAAGAATCAAGTTTTTTAGAAGTTTGCAATGCCTAAAATTGAAAATATCTGAGAAGAGGTATCAATTCCATCTGTTGTAAAAAAAATAATTGTGCAATTAATACGATTTATTATGAAAAATATAAGAATTTATTAAGATATCCCAAAAGCAATCTAAACAACAGCTATGACAAAAAGGTAAATACAGTGTAGTTTAAACAGAGCTAACGGGGATACTTATAGTAGCAAAAGAAATAACCAGAAAGAATATCGCTGGAAGGAACATGCTCATCAATACAGATAGCAGACAAGCATTATTCACCCTGAACAGACCACAAATTTATTCAGGGTTAATACTAGAATATCACGAAGCTTTGGCCGAAGTATCTATCAACAATGTGGTCACCTTAAGATGGATCAAAGGTCACGCCACATCGAAAGGTAACCGTCTTGCTGATTCACTAGCCAAGAAAGCAGCCAACCAAATACTTTTTGAACCTGGCCCTTCTATTAGCCTGACAAAATCGGTAGTGACAGACCTAATTAAAGAACATTCCCTTGTGAAATTTAAGGAAAGATGGGATAAAAGAAGAAACTGCAGAGTTGCTTAAGAGCTCTTAAGTTATCCTGACAACACTGCAGCAAACAAATACTTGACTATGACTAGACAGAATCTGTGCCTAGTCACATGTATTCTGACTGGTCATTGCCAAGTACGGAAGCATCTCCATATTATGTGGCTGTCAGAATCCGCACTCTGCAGAGGGTGCGAACAAGAAGATGAGACCATCGAGCATATCCTTTACGACTGCTCTATGCTCTAATTTATTAGAAGATTTGTGTTCGGCGAGTATCGGCTAACACCAACCGATATTAGAGAAGCGCAATGGGCCTAATGAGGCCAAAAGTACCGTGGGGGTAACCCACCCTCCACACGTTACAGATACAGAAAGGTAAATACATTTAAAATAGAGTGTCATAAAAAATTACTTGACATAGCTGCTTATAGATGCGATTTTTCTGCATGCATGTGTAAAGAAAGTAACTACTAAGGAATAAAAATTTTCTTTCTGATCAAAGATCGATCAGAAAAATAAGCATAGGAAATGTAGATCGGGAAGAAATTAAGAAAATATTGTCGAATAAACAAAGGTAATCCAGAGAAATCGAAAGACTAAAAAAGTATGAATCAGTATCTTGCAATTTATTAAGACCCAGCTGTTTCTCTCAAACTACTACATTATTGTCAGTCAGAATCTGATTCCTCAAAATATCAATGTTCTTCACATGACGATTTGATTAATCCAAACTTACCCTCTACCTCAAAAAACACTAAAATAAGAACAAAGTTACCTACGTCAGGTCTGTTTGGCGATAAATATGGTATATCTGCGATTGTTAATATAGTTTTTAAACATGTAGGAATACTTACCTCAGAAGATCTGTAGAAAATAGTTGACCAAAATAAAGTAAGAAGAGTAAAAGAAATCTAGAAATACCACAAGGAGGAAGTTTAAAAGTGATAACAGAAGAACAAGAAATCTGTATTTTAAAGAAAGGACAAAACTTTACTGCAAGAAAATAAAAACGGTAGATTATTCAAGAGTCGAAGAACACATCGCTTATCCAGGAATCTAAATCCATTTATATTGGCCACGTAACTTCTACTACAGGGAGTCAAAGTCAATTGGAAAAGCAATATTGGAATTTTTTATTAAAAACAATTTGGAACTAGATGATTTAGCGGCTGAGGATCCCGATAGTACTGTTGATAACATCGGTAATAAAAATGTTATTATTAAATATATTGAAACTGATGTAAGACGTCCTTTACAATGGTATATTTGCCAACGAATAGCCATTGAGGCATTTAATCTAATCATTTAGATGGCATCACAGTGGGACCTCGTCAATATTCTGGTAAAATTGGGAAGTCTTAAGAAAAATTAGAAAATCTTAAAATTGTAAATTTTACACCAATAAAACGTGAGTTGTCAAATATAACTGTAATGTCTAGATATTTAAGTTCTGATCAATCATATTTATATGACATATGCAATGCAATATTAAGCGGCAATTTCTCATCAAAATTAGTACACCGTAGTCATGAAAAATTAGCGCAATCTACATGGCTCACAATGTTAAATCGTGCACTTCGGCTCTATGAAAAGAATGAAAATTAAATAAATGCAAAGTTTGTTATTGTTTGTTACACAATGAATTACCGATTAATGACTCGAATGACTGAATGAACTTAAATATTAATAAAAATTGTTTTCTTTGTGGCATGTGGCATTACACAGCGGTACTTCCCTGTTAAATCGTCTCCTGGGTAGATAAAGTCTGTCCGATACTAACTGAGGTTACTTCGACATTACTTCGAGCTACGTGAAGCTACGTGGAAACTTGGAACGGGGAAGCTACGTGGAAAGTACTTCGTAGCTTCGTCACACTTACTTGGAAGCTACGATCTTGGAGCTTGGAGAAACTATGTTACTTGAAGCTTGGAGTTAGGAGAAGTTACGTTACTTAAAACTTGAAGCTACGTTGAAAATTACTTGAAAACTTGGAGCTTATTTGAAGAAGATACATAACCTCGAGCTTGGAAGCTACGGAGCTTGGAGCTTAGAGCTTGGAGCCACTACAGGTTTAAACATATAAAGAATCTCAGTAACAAGAATAGCAGTTTGGAAATCTAACGGACTTATGCATAAAGGGGACAAATGTTAAAGTTACATCATCTAAACAGAATATAAAATATTTATAAGGCCAAACTAGGTTATAACAATAAGTTTTACATCATCTAAACAAATTATAAACAATTTATAGGGCCAAAATAATTTAAGAGCCATAGATTTTCGTTTAAACTGTATTTCCAGACTGTCTTGTAATACAATTATTTAATTGCCTCCCCGCTTATACAGTTTGTTTCATAATATATACGCAGGACATCAAGACGTGATAGCTCGTCCAAAAACATAAAAAAACGTTTCTATTAACTAACTTTCTAAAATGCACCATTTTCGAGATACAGGGTGTTGAAATTAAAAAAAAATTTCCACGCTACTGGAAAAAGTACGGTTTTAATGCCCATTTGAACCGCCAATGTTTTCTACACAAAAAACGTAATTTAGGTCATATGCTCTAAAGTCGGCCGTTTTCGAGAAAAATCAAATTTTGTTTCATCAAGTAGGTTTTAAATTTCAAAATTTGATTTTTCTCGAAAACGGTCGACTTTAGAGCGTATGACCGACAGTACCTTTTTTGTGTAGTAAACATTGGCGGTTCAAATGGGCGTCTCAAAACCGTACTTTTTCCAGTGGCGTAGAAATTTTTTTTTTCAATTTCAACACCCTGTATCTCGAAAATGGTGCATTTTAGAGGGTAAGTAAATAAGTACGTTTTTTCATATTTTTGGACGAGCTACCACGTCCTGAAGTCCTGCGCATATATTATGAAACACCCTGCATATCAAAGAAAACTTAAAAATATTATTAGGTAGGGTAGCTATAATCTATATGAAATAAAATAAAACAATAATAATAACCGGCATGGTGGAAATAAAAAAAAGCAAATGGCCGACCCTTAGCCTTTCCAACTAAATCCAGCAAAGCGTTAAAATATTAGTTGAACAAAACATTATCTGACAATTATCCCAATGGTAACACATAAGCACATACAAAAGACACACTATAGTTATTTAAATCTACTCATAATAACTGAAAACTAGTAGATTTGTCAACACAACACTAGCACATTGAATTTTGAGTTCGATAAATAAAAAGGACTCTTAAAGTAACGCCAGCTAGTTTTATCTCAGAGTAAATGCAGAAACGCTAGTCACGTGCGCAAAGTTTACCAATCTAAGGAAGCTAGCGATATTTGTTTAATATTTTGTCATTTACGAGGAGTTATGGAGAAGTTGTTGTTAAAAATAAACTTCAAATTAATTTCACGTAACAACTGTCACGGTATTTAAGTAATGATTTAAAAAGTGTTGTAGATACGGTAATTCCAAGAAACGCGTATTATTTATATTCCGCAAACATTCTTTTGTGTATGCTACCAGACACTCGTGAATGGGTTCGAAAACTATTTTTATAGAGTATCTTAAAAGCCAAAGAAACCTATCGAGTACCATTAAAGTATAACACTAACATTCTATAGTCTGAATAAAAGAGGAGTGCAGTAAAAGTAGGGATAAAACGTCACATTCCATAGGCGTACTTTGCAAAATAAATTTTTATAATATAAATAAGAACAAGGCATATAAAATGGTATATACATTATACGCACCTGGTAGATTAAATTTTGAAAGAAAAAAAGTTACATAATTAACAATAAATAAAAATAAACCTAAAGCTTCTGAGAAAATTGTTTTTATAGCATTATCTTTGTTTTATAGAAGAAAGTCTGCCTGCTTGATTTTAAATTTGGTAACAATAAGTGGTTGTAGAGTTTTTGGGAAAATAAAAATTTAGAAGAAATCCATCTTTGTAATGAGATAAGATTTACCCATTCATAATGGGTGATTCGATATATCCAAGTTTCCCACACTTAGAGTTAACGTAACAAATAATTCCGAAATGCCCTGTATAATATTATTAAACACTTCGTGACTTTTTCTTTCGTTTTGAAGCAGCAATGTAGGTATAGCACTATTTAAGTAAACGTTAATCATTAAACAAGTTTTACCACGATACAACATTTCTTTATGGTCATTTGTTAAACACACAGGTATGCGGTCATTCAATAAATAAAAAATAAAATCAACATATTACTTTGTTTCACTTATCATTAGAAAAAATAGCGCGCAGCCATAGTTTAAGATAAGGGAAGATTGGAGATAGCATAACAAAGAAAGTCAGTTAATTATTTATTTTTTTTTTTAGATTATTTTCATATATATATTTGAAAATTTCATACATCTAGTTCAGTAAGGAAATATCATAGTTTCTTTACAAAATGTCGGTGAAAAACGAAATTACGCTTTTTGTTGGTAGCGAAAAATATTCAGGTGAGTTTATTGGAAACATTTAATAGATAATCGTCTCGGAAGCCAACTGTGTCAAACGGCCGTGTACTTAATTACTGCCCTTTACTGGAAAGTGACACACTAGTTCGGATCCCAGGAAAAACTATGTGAATTTTGCATGGTTCATTGTGGGATGTGATGAATGCCGTATTAACAGTAATTTTTTTCTGTTGATACGATATTCAAATTGCAATTCCTGTTGGTTACCATTTCGTTTATAGTAAGTGGGATTTTCCGAATTTTCCTCACTCCTAAGTTAAATAGCAACATTAATTATATTTGTATTATTTCATATTTTCAGCACTTACTGGTAATAGTTTTTTATGTAAGAATCACGTAAGTCAAAAAATGGACTTTACTCACGAATTGCATACAATATTTTTTCTACTACCGGAAGTTTTATGAAAAAATGAAGGTTTTATATACATTTTCTTCACGCACTTGTGCGTAAAGTATATTTCTTTACGCACTAGTATGTAAAGAAAGTTTAATTTTTCGTTCTAATTATAACACTTTGTAATAAAATATAATTAAACTAATTTAATATACATATTTTCACCAAATTAAAACAAATTCGAGAGACGATAAAATGGTGGTTCCCACCTTATCGAGACTGAGGCCTACAAGGGTAAACTCGTAGCGTAACAAAAACGAGAAATGATTTAACTTGGAACGAAATACCGAAAGCCGATAGTAGTATTAGCACGTTGAATTTTTTGTGAAGCATTGGCATTACTAAAGTTAAACCATGTGATGATTTTCACAAGCCTTGATTTTTAAAACCATTCTATATTGTCTTTTGATTAAAGTTTAAGAACTTAAGCCTGCTCATGTAAAATATTTGGGCTCCTTACTTAGCCTATTTATATTCTATTAATAAAGGACAGAAGGATGAGTATTGCAACTATGTTAAAAGAAATAAATTGGCTTCCAGTTTAGAATTATGATCAGTACATGACTGATATTTATTTATAAAATAAAAATGACATAGTACCATCGCATCAGATCTATTAGAAAAAATTCAATATAATTCACAATATCACAACTATAATACAAGAAGCCAATATGACTTTCATGTACGGCAATTCATCACTAAAAATTTCCAAAATACAATTTTTATTAAAGTTTCCAAAAATGTAATAGACTGCTTACAGAAATTATAAAAAAAAAAACAATAAATGTATTTAAAAGTAACCTCAAACAATACTTGATAAATAAATAGAACGGATATACTTTCTTGTGATAATACTCTTTAAACCTGTCCTTTTTAAGTATTTCCCTTAATTTATTGTTATTTTCCCTCTCGTTTTATCCGCATTTATTATAGATTATTTATTTTGAGATCATGTACTTTATTTAAAAAAATTACTTGGTGTTATATTAATACTACTTACTATGTTTAAATTATTAATAGTTTTGCGACGATAGGTTATAGCAACTTATAGCCACAAAACTATTTTTGTGTTAAAGTAGATCCATAGAGAGCAATGTAATTTACAAAGGCCTTTTTTCAACATTCAAATAAATGACAACTTTATAATTAAAATGAAAAACACAACAAAATACCTTGGTATCATAATTGATCCAAATTTGAAATAGGCATTATATCCTACCTCTTTTTTATATAATAAAATAGTATATTATGTTACTAGGAGTAGAAGGCCAACATTATATGTTGAGCCCAGAATTTTGCACAGCTGAGGCGTTAGCCGAAGCTGTGTAAACTGGGCGAAACATATAATGGGCCTTCTAATCCGAGTGACATACTATTTTTTCTTCAAGCATTTAAATAAAAGTATGGATAAAAAAAATTAAAATAAAAAAGCTGAAATTAATAGAGTATCTGTAAAACTAAATAACAGTTTGAAAAAATTATGTACCTACCTTAGTTGCTAAATATGTCTTGTTTGGTGCATTCTTAAGAAAGTTATCAAACTCCCGAAAAAACTTTTGACTTCTTCGGTTTGTAATTATCACCTTTTCGTTTTAAGAAGGCAATTAATTTTGAATAGTGTTCAATTTTTACATTATGTTTAATATTTAGTTTTGATTTCAACATTGAATACTGCGACCACATTGTTGAACTTTTGAATTTTTCAGACAAATTAGTAAAATATGCGATCAGAACATTTTCTGAATAAAAATGTACGTGATTTTTTTCACTCCATTTCACAAATTTTGTGTAAGCATAATCGTAAACTTTCTTCGATTTCGTAGGTATTAAGGTTTCTATCGAATATTTCGCTATTTCTAGCAATTCGGGAGGTGTTGATTGCATTTCTTCTGACATTTTCTTTTTACTTGAAAAACACAGGTATAACGAACGGGTTAACACTATTTTTTTATATTCTAAATCATACACTGACAAACGTCAAATTAAATAAGTACTCAAATGACAGTTCCAGCCTACTTGATTGCAACGTTCATAATAAGCCATTTAACATTAGGTTTGTGCTTTTTTATACTAGTACAAAAATGAAAAATATTTGTACTAGTATAAAAATAGGCTACTTCTACAACACGTGTACCTTGATATAATGTAAACATTATTATACGCTTGAAGAAAAAAGTACTTTGTATAAGAACATTATATTATCTGTCTTGCTGTACCTTTATATATATGGAGATACACCATAAATTATTTGCAATAAATATCAAAAGAAGTGTACATTTTTAAATAATTTGACATTTAAGAGCCATTCAGATATCACAGTTGACATCTTGATACTTGACAGGCATAGCCAAGCATTATTCTGATTTTTGCCAAATAAAATGGCCGGTTAATTATTCTATGGGGTTGCGACAGAGAACCTGTAAATTTTATGAAAGTATTTTTGTGGCTAGGGGCGAAATAGTAGTACGCTTAATAAAACCACCATAAAAAAGTCATTTTTAATAAATTGCTTATATATTTTTCATAAATTGGAAGGCTTGGCGACTAATTTCGAATGAAAATAGCCTCCAAAATGACTATGGTTGCCAAGTATGAAGGTCGCAACCCGCCTTAGAAATTTCACATTTCAGTTTAAATGTCTAATAGAATCAATAAATTTAAGAAATATCTCACAACACGTACTAAATGTCAGTCAATCACAGCCAACTTAGCAAGATTGTTAGAAATCTTTAATTACAATTTTTGTTACTTTTATTATTATTTAATTTAATATTATATTCTCTAATAGGTATATGCTGAATTCAAATAAGTTTTGATGTATGATTAAACCAAAAAATTAAAGCAACTAATTTATAACATTTTTAAATATTGATATTGTTCTTGGTTTTTAAAGTTAAAATGTTAAATTAAATAAAGAAGTGTCAGTTATCCATAGCCAACTTATCTAGTTCGTTAAGAACTTAAATAATTTTCGTCAACAGGTAATAAGATTTTACAATAATTTTTATTAATATAATATTTAAACTGGATTGAAATAACTATAAAAATATATGATTAAATTGAAAAAAATTAAATTAAATAAAATATTTAATATACTCATTATTTTTATAAGAACTGTCAATACTAAAACTTGTTGCTCTATGGTCAAAAATTTGAATAAAGACGTTTTATTATTATTATTATTATTATTATTATTATTATTAATATATAATACACTCAAATTTGACAATTTTTTTACGTACTCAGTGCGTAAATAAAAACTCTTTACGCACTTGTGCGAGAAATAAAGTTTTAAGAACTCTGTAGCGTGCAAAATGATAGTACTTTAGGAATAAAATATTATTTTATTTAGTAATATGTATTAGCTTGAAACTAGATAACTGTAAAAGGTATTTAAAATACCTATCATAGTTCAACCGTGTGAGATTAGTCGCAATTTCGAGAGGTGAACAAATTTGTAGTGCTCGGGACCCATCTAGAGGAGTGCATGGGTAGAAAGTATAAGTTAAATGAATGGGAAAGAGTAGGACATCCAAACTGAAACGCAAAAAGCCCATGGGGCTGGTAGTGCGGCTATGTGAACCCAAGAGAATGAAAGACAGATTGAAATTCACTAGGAAATTAATTTACCTTCCCCACTTAGGTAATGTTCAGAAACATACAGATGATATGGATGATCTGCAGAATAACTGCCTCCTACACGTATCCTACTAGGTTCTTGAATATTCCCATATATTGAAGATTTTTATTAAAGTGCTTTGATATAATTTCTTTCGCTGACATATTATCAATGGAACTACGATACAGAGTTTCGTATTTTCTGATTTTCTGGTTTTTGTTGATGTTGTATGACAGATTAGTCCTGTTCTTTTTTGTTTGTCATTAATGGCAATATTTTTTCTATTGTAGTCAACTCTCCTTTCTGTTGTTATCGAAATAACCCAATAGAGCACCGTCAATTCAAGAACAACTGCAGATTGACATTAGTATTAGGCTTGGCGCGTGCTAGGAAGACTATGTTTATAGTAAGCTGGTAATGGATAATCTTGGCAACTTGTTTGTTATGTCCTAGGTATACGGTATCTGTAGGTACTCTCATCCTACTATTATGTGTTTGATGGATTCTTCTACAGATCCACATTTGTGGATTTTGGATCCGTTAGTATCCGGATATACATAACCAGCGTCAAATCTGGCCAATGGCATGGCTCTATCGGAAGCCTTGAAAATTTTCTATGTAGAGCCTGTTCTATACATATTGCTTGATCTTTGTCTTCTACGCATAATATACAAAAACTGTTGATGCTGTAAATATATATCTTGTATCATATTGGTTAATTAACATCATAAGACTAATGTTATGGACCAATCTACAATTTTTTTTAACAGACCTTTAAAAAATTAACGCATGAGAAAGCGTACAATTCTTCTTAAGTGTAAATTTGGATTTATTCGAATCCGTGCATAGTGATAATGAACGTGACTCATATCTATTGGCCATGGCCTTCTGTAGAAATATTTTTTGTTAATAGCTCTTTATTATTGTTACTAATATTATTAATATTTTTAGTAAATCTAAACGATGTTGGACCCACAACAACTCTCAATACTTTCTTGAGAGAAATAGCACACTTGAAAGGGACTAAGAAAATGTGTGAAGAAGGAGGCTGTGGTGCGTGTACAGTCGCTGTGGAAAAAACCGTTGATGGACAAAAACAAGTTTTTTCTGTCAATTCTGTATGTAAAAAATTAATTTCTTACTAACCAAATTTTTCTAAAAGTTATCAGATAATTTATAGAGTTGCAATTTTATTTATTCATTGTTTTAAACAATTACCTATTGCTGATTTCAGTGCCTGGTATCCATATTATCCTGCGATGGATGGAAAATACAAACAGTTGAAAGCATTGGAAATCCTCTTATAGGTTACCATAAAATTCAAGAAGTTTTGTGTGACAACAACGGGACCCAGTGCGGGTTTTGTTCAGCAGGAATGGTTATGAATATGTATGCTCTTCAGCAATCTGGACCAGTCACACAGAAACAGATTGAGAATTCTTTTGGAGGAAATCTTTGTAGATGCACTGGTTATAGACCAATTTTACATGGATTTAAAACACTCGCTTCTGATGCTGGTATGAATTATTATCCTATTATTTTTTAAATGACGATAAAATGTATTACATTGCAAGCAGTTTTCTTCGACTACTATTTTACATGTTTAAATCCTTCTTTAGATATCGAGATTAATATATATTTTTTTATTTTTATCATTTATTGCGCTTATTTTTACAACTAATTAATTTTGTTTAGCTTTCATTTTACTTAATTAATAGTAAACTGATTATTTAATTGTTACAGGTTAGATACCATCTAACTTAGCATTTCTGATTTACTTTAGGTATCTTCTTATTTAATGAAATTCATGCTGTTTCTGTCTTTCGTTTATTAAATCATTTTTTCAATACGAGAATTCTATTATTGAAAATATTGTTTCCCTTACATTTTGTTTCGTTTTATTATTATATTCGTTTTGTTCTCATTATGAAATAAAAGAAGCATCTTACACTTTTTTACTACTTCTACCTCCTCAAATTTCTTGTTCATAATTCAACTCAAATATAAAGTGTTTCATTAAGACAGTTAACATATTTGAAGATAAATGACCCCTAGGCTATTCCAAAATTCCTGATATTATTCGATAATTTAAATCGGTGTAACTTTTGTACTATGCTATCAAGTTAAATAAAATTTTAGAACCAACCTAAATTATCAAACATATTTTTTATTTAAACAAAAGGACAATAATAAAAGCCTGTGTAAAGATTTGTTATTTACTAATGAAAATATAGATATATTTATTTTAATTTAATAAACATTATTATTAACATTTGTCAAGAAATAATACTCAAAGTGTTGCAAATTTATTTGCAGTAGTCCGGTCCTGTACTTAAAAATTATAGTCCCTCATCTGACTTCAAAAAGTAACACGTCGTCTTTTTTGCTTTCTATTTGTAGTTGGGTATAAGAGACGGGGGTAAACAACATGTACTATGTCCCGATGGTGGTAGCTATCGTGTGACGTGTCAATTTCAAAATAAATTTGCTAATCGATGATTTTTTTTCATTTTTTGCTGGCAATGTAATACATGCTTCTAGACGTCAATAACGATTAAGCATTTTCTCCTGTTTCTCCTGGCCGGTTTTGCTACTTCCGGTGTAAGAATTTCGGTGACGTTACCGGATATTTCAAAGAAACTCGGGATATAAGCTCAGACGTAATTTTCCTAAAACTGAGATGATATTGATAGCATTTTTACTTTCCTATCTGTATACAGATACAAAAAAAAATACCAAATTTTAAACGTTTATTCCGACCTTCAATAAACTGATTAGATTTTGGGGAGAGTCGGAACATCTGTGGGGTACTTTATGGGTGGGCATTTTTATATTTTATGGAATATATCTGTTATTTACGTTTAAAGAAGAAAATTCTTCAAATAAAAGTTACTTACAATATTATTATCTACAATTTTTGTTTGGTACTAAATTTTCCTAAAATGGTCCGTATTCAAGAAATTTGACAAACTAAAAAAAAATATTTTTTTATAAAAATTGTTAAAACAAAAGTTGTTTGTATTATAATTTTCTATAATTTTTATATTATACAAAATTTCTCTAAAATGGACCGTAGTCGAGATATTTAGGAAAATGTGTAAATAACGAATTTTGAAGAAAACTCAAAAACGGATAAAGGAAAAAATGTTAAATTTTAAACTTAAGTTTTATTTCGGCCTGTCGTAAAATTATAAAATTTTAGACAAAGTCGTAACGTTTGGGGGGCACTTTATAGGAGGTCGTTTTTATATTTTATGGAATATATCTGTTATTTATGTTTGGAGAAGAAAATTGTTAAAATAAAAGTTACTTCCTATATTATTATCTATAATTGCTGCTTTTTGCCAAATTTTCCTAAAATGTGTAAAATTCTGATTTTTAAGAAAATTATTAAACTAAAAGTTGTTTGGGATATCGATCTCTATAATTTTTGTTTTTTACATGATTTTTCTAAAATGGACCGTAATGGAAAAATTGGAGGAAAAGTGCTAAATTTAATTTTTTCAGTATTTTCGTTTTCAATGAATATCTATAGAAAAATGTTTCGAGGTAGATGTATTTGAAAAATGTATATATTTAGTTCATCCTCTAAACATTTATAGAGGTGCTACAATAGGTTGTACAAAATAACCGGAAAAAGCCTATAATAACTAGATAGAAAAGTCATGTGTTGGACACATCAGATTTTTTAGCGAAAATTTGGATAATGCAAAAAAATCCAATCTGACGAAAAATATTTTTAAAAATAGGTAAAAAAATCAAGTAAGAATTTTGCCTTTGCAAGCATTTTTGGTGGTTCTATCCCATTCATCCTTTTATTCATCTTGGGTTTTCGAGAAAAATATTAAAATAGTTGCCGTTTTGGGAACAAAATAAAAAAGGCGAAACGAAGTTTAAAAAATGTTTGCAATACTCTTATTTAAACCATATTTCTCATCTATTTTGAAAAACAAGTTACCTTTTTGGTAGATTGCAATTTTTTTTGTTATCAACTTTATCGCCGATACCAAAAATATTTACAATATCATATTAGATTTAAAAGAAGCGCGTTTAAGCTATATTAACGTCTAGAAGCATATATTTTATTGCCACACAAAAGAAACAAATTATTCGATAAGCAACATTACTTTGAATTTGACAGGTCACACGACAGCTCCCAGCACCGGGACATAAAATGTGTTGTTTATCTCCTCCCCCTGTACCCAATTATAAAATAGCAAACAAAAAAGACGACGTACCACTGTTTCAGTCAAAAAAGGGACTATAAACAATATAATATATGTATTAACAATAAATTTGTTTTATAATGTCATATCCCTCTAGAAGATATTTTCGCGTGAATCTTAAGACACAATAATACTTCCAGTAAAATCAGGAGTACCACAAGGTAGCGTCCTCGGACCAATATTGTATTTAGTTTACACAACCTACTTACCAACAATACTACAACATTCGCAGTTGATTCGGCATTCTAGCAAATTACAAATTTATAAGAGATCTATAGAAGCAGATAACAAACTACACATTGAAAAATGGACAGAAACTTGACACATTAAGTTTAATGATTAAAAATCAAAATCTATTGAATTTATTAAATCCAGAAAGTGTAAAATATTTGGATATCCACTTGGACATAGACAACATAAAAACACATTATGGAGTAAACGTCAACAACTTCAGCAAACAAACTGTTTATTTCCACTAAGTGTTCAAGCTTATCTGGATATATGTTCTTTAACTTTGTAAGATAGTGTCAAAATTAAATTTAAGGAGTATCAAAAGATGTCAATCCAAAGTCCTTAATGTCGGCTATAGGCCGAATTTTCAAAGAGGGCCATTGCGATTAGCCATTTCCTTGTTAGCATATCTTCTTTAATATATGATTTATGAGCCCCTCCCTGGATCCTCCGTTGAAAGTCCTACAGTCAATGATCGGTCGATGATCTCTGATTCGTAACGAATAAAAACAATATTAACGATTTGGAGGTGCCAACGATAATTGAAGTGATTGTCTATTGATAAATACCTTATACGATAAGAAAATCACACAAATGTACTAGAAATTAATCTCTTATCAAACAATAACCAACAAAGCAAGCACCTGAAGCAAACGACTTTTTTATATTTAAAATTCAAGAGCTAAGTTGATACCTTTAGTACTACTAATAACCTAATTACTATGTATCTCTCAGTTATGTTTATAAAGAAATGTCGGTTCTTTGACGTCAATATCAATAGGAAAATATTATGCATAAAAAATGTTTATAATAGAAAGTTATTTGATGACAAGAAATGTTAAGACGCTAAAGTAACAGGCATTTCATGTAGTTCTTACATATACAGGAAAGTCAAATAAATATTATACCGGGTGATGTTTAATGTAATAAATTATAAATATTCTGTTTTTTACCTTGGTAAATTATATTGAGTTTTCTAAATTCATCTAGAGGTCATTTGTCGCTTTTCCTTTCTTTACCAATTAATTTTAGTCTAGGTACTTATCTCATAATATGTTTTAAAATTAATAAAAATATTCTCAACTTAGATAAAGACATTAATGATATCGAAGATATTAAGCTCTGTCCCAACAAAGGAGGAAAAACATGCTGCAAAAACATTAAGAAAAATTATGTTTTGAAGTTTGAAGACTCACAATGGACAAAAGTGAACACTTTAGCAGAATTATTAAAAGCTTTGAATAACGTACCAAAAAGTTACATGTTGGTTAGTGGAAACACTGCTAGAGGTAAGACTGTTTTAAAGTTTCAGTACATTTTCTAGAACGCCTCTTTCTTGAATTCCAGGTGTTTTTAAAACCAATACTGATCGCGATGCCTATATAGACATACAAGATGTAGCAGAACTTATTTCCTATAAAATGGATAGCAATACGTTAACCCTTGGAGCTAATGTGAATATGACTCAACTAATGGAAATATGCAAAGAAAATTCTTCAAAACCCAATTTTTCGTATTTGACTACAATAAATGAACATTTGGATTTAATAGCTACTGTCCAAATAAGAAACGTAAGTATATATTTATATGAGTGTATACTAAACTATTTATTTCTACACTGGGTAAAGTGTTATACATCATAATTTAAGTCGATGTAATTTGTATGTATTTAAAATTAAATACATACAATTTTTTAAATAAAACACCATTCTAATTTATTTATGAACATATTTTTTCATACAGTGTGATTTACTTAAAATAGGAAAGTAATAATTTTTTTTTTTTTTAGATTGGCAGCCTTGCAGGGAATTTAATGATGAAATACCAATATAATGAGTTTCAATCTGATGTATTCTTACTACTGGAAACATTTAATGCTTTGTTAACTATTGGTAAGTATTCTAGTAAATAATTCAATCTTATTCATATATCCCAAAATTAAACAAACATAACTTAAGGGAACGTTTTTACTTTTCTGTCTGTATACAGATAAGGAAAGTATGGGAATGATGATGTCTTTTCGACCTCAATTTTTGAGGGATTTTTACGTTTTGGGGCCCCCTCAATTCGTTTTGACTATTTTCGCGATGATGTCTGCCAGTTTTTGTCTATATACTAGATAACTCTGGAACGGAAGTAGAGAAAAGCACCAACTTTTAAGCTTTAATCGATTCTAGGAGTAATTAGGTGTTGAGCAAAGTAAAAACAACTGGGGGTACTTTATAAGGGGTTCTTTTTTTTACTTTAAATTAAAGTTGCTTGTCATTCCTTACAATTTTTGTTTTCTACATGATTTTCGATATATTTGAGGAAATGTGGGAATTTCGAATTTTGAAGATAAAGAGAAAAACACAAAATTTTAAACTTAAGCATTATTCCATCCTGCAGTAAGCTGATGGCATATTTAAAGCATTCGGGGAGGTACTTTAAGGGATGTCGTTCTTTTACTTTAAGGAATATTTCTGTTATTTACGAATACAAAAGAAAATTCTTAACATTAAAAAGTATTTGCGATGTCGTTATCTATAATTTCTCTAAAATGGACCGTAATGGAAAAATTTGAGGAAAAGTGGAAAATTTAAAATGTTCAGTATTTTTGTTGGCAGTGAATATAGAGGGTGTTCCATCTCAGACGAGCCACCCCGTATATTTCTTATCCCATAGTAATTGGAAAAATTTCCCGGAACAAATCGGATGATTTTATTTGGGGGACATCTTTTGACGTATATTTAAGGCCTGAACGAGCAACCCCCTATAAGGGGGCGCTTCAACCCCTTAAAATTGAATAGGGAAGAGAGTGTTACTTCATTTGTACGGTCTTGGAAGCCTCTTTACAACGGTGTATGAAAAAAAATCACAAAAAAAAAAAATTAATTGTTTTATCAATCTTACAATCAAAAAAATCAAAACTGCGTTTTTAAATCAAATGTTTACATTATGCTCCACTGACTTCCATGCCATAATAAATTCTCTCGAACTAATAAATAAAAAAAAATTAAAACATTTTCTTATCTTGCCTTCATTTTTTGTTCTCAAAAGGTGTTTATCACGTTTTTTCGGTAATTTCATACGATAAAACAATTAATTTTTTTAAGAATGTGATTTTTTTCATACACCGTTGTAAAGAGGCTTCAAAGACCTTACAAATGAAGTATCACTCAACCCCTCTTCCTTATACAATTTTGAGGGGTTTAAGCGCCTCCTCATATGGGGTTTTTGTTAAAGCCGAAGTGTTCAACTGTACGTCAAAAGATGTCCCCCGAAGAAAATCATCCGACGTATTTCGGGAAATTTTTCCAATTACTATGGGATAGGAAATATACGAGGTGGCTCGTCTGAAATGGAAACCATGTATATAAAAAAATGTTTCAAGCAAGAAGTGTGTGAAAAATGTATGTATTTAGTTCATCCTCTAAACGTTTACAAGAGTAATATAATAGGGTACCTATACAAAATAACCAGACTGGAAAGTCAAGTATGGACAAAGATTATTTAAAAAAGTTTTACTTTCCATTATTAAGAAACCTATTAATGTAAAATTTTAAATAATTTTCCCTAAACTTGACAAACTTAGCAAAAAATTAAATTTATTGTTTCTGTTTCTTTATAGCAGACTCAATTTTTGTACCTTTTTTTAGACAAAAAGTGTACACTGTTTCCTTTAAAATTTGTTTAATTTTCATTTATTTTACTAAGTATTTTGTATTTATGTTTTAGTGGATGTAAGCGGAAAAGAACAAACAGTTAGCCCACATGCTTTTTTGAAAGTTGATATGACAAAAAAAGTTATTACAAAAATTGTTTTAAAATGTCTGGATGATACTTACACATATGCAACGTATAAAGTAAGAAATTTTTATTATACTCTATTTTATTTGTCTAGTTATAGTGGTGAATTTACAAAAACGAAGTGTTTAACAATATCCTTATCGCACGTAGCTAAAGTGATGTCTGTCATCAGTTAAATAAAAGTCACTAAGAATTACCATTTAAGTTATTATTTTACCAGATCAATTGGAATACTGATATTGTTGAAGACTTGTTTTAAAAGTAGCCACTTTAATTCCATTAATTTATGTATATTATTCTACTTAATTTTATTTTAGATAATGCCCAGGACACAAAATGCTCACGCCATAGTAAATGCTGGATTCTTGGTCAAAATTGAAAATGATTTAGTTAAAACAGCTAATATCGTTTACGGTGCTATTAATAAAGGCTTTGTGCACGCTTCAAAAACTGAAAAGATTTTAATAGGAAAAAAATTATATGACGATACAACACTCCAAGCAATTTTCGATTCCTTAAATACCGAACTTGTTCCTGACCATGTTTTACCAGATCCATCAATTACATTTAGAAAAGGCATAGCCATTTCTCTATTTTACAAGGTAAGAAAACACACATTCCCCATATTATCAAACTGTCTTTTTCATTAATTTTTTTTTGGTTGTCATTTATTATAAATAATTATACAATTTTCTTTTGTCGCAGTTTGTTCTTAAGACCTGCCCCTCAGCTCAGGTTGCAGATAGATTTAAAAGTGGCGGTACTCTTTTGGAACGTCCTGTCTCCAAGGGTTCCCAAGAATATGGTACTATTGAGAAGGAGTGGCCTCTAACTCAGCCTATAACAAAATTAGAGGCGTTAGCTCAAACGTCAGGTGACAATAATGTTTTTTTATGGATTTATTATTATCATCTCGATTTTCTGCTAAAAGTAAAGTCGTTGCATTATTTCTTTCTTCATTTACTTTGTTTTGTTCCGAATCATTTCAATATTAAAACCATTAACATTTATATAATTACTACCAGTATCCTACCATGATAATCATCTGTCTGTTTTGAAATCTAATGTCCCTTATTTATTAATATTGTACACCTTCTTTGGCAACATCTCAGGTAGTCCTATTACGCCAGCTGCTTCATCGTCCATTCACATTTATGCACTTACGTCTTTATTTTGCAGCCTACACTTAAATTTGACTACTTTATCACCTTATAATTGTTCTTCCTTTTTAATTTTAGCCCCTGCACTATGGTAATTTGATTTTTACAATTATTTTTAAGACAATGGTGATTAGTTAAACATTTTTCTGGAATGACCTTATACTCTTTTCACTGGTTTGAATCGCTTCTTCTTAATAAAGTTATTTAAGAACATTTTCGTGCTTTTTACTTTTTTATAAACAAACCTTTCTAGATCAAAGTTCTGTCATGGTACGCAGATATATAATTTTGTTAATGGATACTTTAAATATTTTTAACAATAGAATATTAAAAAAAAGGTTAGAACATTTTTAAAATCCGTTTTAGGTCAAGCTCAATACATTATGGATACTCCAGCCTTGCCAAATGAAGTATATGCAGCTTTTGTGACCGCTGGTGTTGTACCAGGATCTAAAATACTCACCATTGATCCTTCAAATGCTTTGGTAAGATTATTAAACATAATTTACGGTATAGCAGTGTGTTTGTGGGTTCGTAATTGCTTTATAGCATAAACATACTGCTTTAATTATTAAGCACATATGTGTTTATGAGGTTAAAAATAAATCGAATTTATTTAGACTTGTTCCTTCTTTCTAGAAACTGGATGGTGTACTAGCGTATTACGATAAAAATGATATACCTGGCGTTAATACCTTCACACCAGCAGACGTGGGATGGTTTGCAATGCAAGAAGAACTGTTTTGCAGTGGTACTGTTCAATATTACCATCAGCCCATTGGTATAATCGTAGCAAAAGATCAGAATTTGGCACGAAGGGCCGCTTCATTGGTTTATATAACTTATGATACTCCATCCGTTAAACCTTATATAAATATCAAAGACGTAGTAAATGATAACGTGGAAAGTAGAATCAATCTTCTAAGTACTGTTCTACCTACGAAAAAAGGTATATAGTTAATTAAGAGTAACATATAAGTAGTTTAGTTGCTAATTGTACAATAAATATTTTGTTTTTGTTTTTATTTTAGGTAAAAATACTTCAAAAAGCATTAGTGGTGAATTTTATGTAGGTTCGCAATACCATTTCCATATGGAACTACAATGTTGCAAAGTCGTACCAACTGAAGATGGTTTCGATATGTTCCCGTCTTCACAATGGATGGACGCTAACCAATTAGCTGCATCTGCGGTATTGGGAATACCTGCAAACAAGTTAGTCATACCATATTTTTTAAAAAATATTAATTTAACATGGTTAGGAATTAATATACTCATTTTTAATATTGTCATAGATTTTAATTTCGTCTTACAGAAGTTTATTATTTCTATTTTAATTTTAAATTTAATTATGTAGGTACCTAAAGTTTTGTTACAACTTTTATATTATGTATAATTTATTGTTAATTATTAATATTCTAGAATAAACGTCAAAGTTCGTCGTCTTGGAGGTGGTTTTGGAGGCAAAATGTTCCGTAATGCAATGGTATCCTCAGCGGCTGCTCTAGCTGCTCAAAAATTAAGAGTACCTGTAACAATGACTTTACCATTTGAAGACAATGTGAACATCGTTGGTAAGCGATACCCATTTTACATGAAATATAACGTTGACGTCGACAACCAAGGAGTTATTCAATATTTGAAAGCCAGTTTATACAGTGATTTAGGAGTTGGAGGTAATGAACCAATTAATACTTTCCTGTTGACTGGAATTGAAAGCGGTTATGATATCAGTGCTTGGGAATTCACTACAAATACTGTCAAAACTGATACTCCTGCTAATTGCTATGCAAGAGCTCCTGGTAAGTTTAATTTTATTGTAAAGAAAGCGGATTCATTACTATTAAAAAATATTTAAGGTACTTTGGAAGGAGTAGCTGGTATAGAATGCATCATGGAAGAGATTGCTTATACTTTAGGATTGGAACCAATCGATGTGAAATTGGCAAATACTAGTGCAACTTATCCACAAATACCAAAACACTTGACTGCTCTTCAAAAATGGGCTGATGTTGATAAAAGAAGAAAGGGTGTTGTTGCCTTTAATAAAGTAAGAAATACGTTAATTAACGTAAAAGGTTAAGATTATTGATAGTAAAACCATAATCGTTTAAAATTATAATGGTTTAACCGAACAATGCCTTCCGAAATCATACTATTAATTAGAAAAACATACCAAATTAGTACATTTAATTATTTTAAGGTGAAGGGGGGAGAAAAAGTCCTTTATATCTCACAAGGAAAGTCAATGTTTAATTATTCAACAAAACATTGAGTGCGACCGGTTTCGAAGTAACATCACTTCATCTTCAGGCTCGCCTAGTGGAAAGGAGAATATGTGGTGTAAGGTGTGTTGACTTTGAGCCCACAATATATAAAATAGTAAAAAATAGAAAAACTCACCATACTCTCCATCCACTAGGGAATACTACAGACAAGTTTCATCAAAACGTGGGGGATGAAATAAATTGTAAAACAAAACAATGTTGCAAGTTATAAAAGTTAAAAATATTTGAAAAACAAATATTAGTCGATATAAACAGTTAAAAATTTTTAAAAATATTCAAGACTATACAAAAACAAATTACATACATTAAACAGATTAAAAGATAAGGCCTATTTTAAGCAACATTGCTGTTTTTTATAAAAATCTAACATTTTTTAAAGGAGACCTGTCAAGTTAAGGCCTCTACAGGTGGTGGTAAGTACTAAAGAAAAATTCTTGGATAAACTTATGACAGGGTATAGGTAATAAGATGTAAACTATGAGTGAAGAAATATTTATTATTTATTATATAAGATTTGGGCCATGAACCAATCACCAAGTGTATGTGATGTTGTAGGATAAAATAAGAAAGAAGAAGAAATGACTGGGTTAACTGTTGTGAAGCAACTGAAAAATAAAAGAAGAAGAAAAGAAGAAAATGACAGATGTGAAAACACACAACTTAACCTAGTCCTTAAACATGCACGTTGGTTTTTTGTGGGAAGAAATTACTTACTGAAATGTACCCCTTGCAAGGAAATATGTAAATAGAAATAGAGGGGGAGGTTAAAAAGGAAGTTAGAACGATAAATTTAGATTAGTGTTGAGAAAACTGGAGGAGTTTCTGACATTATTTGGGCATTTAAGCAACCAACAGGATTTAATTTTAAATTTCTCAATATCTCGAGGCTTTCGAAGCTATTAAGAGTAAATCTATGGTAGGAACTATGTAGGATTTCGAAACCTTCAGTTGAATCGAAGTCGTGATTTGAGTCCAGTAGGTGGTTGGCAAAATGTGAAAATCCTGTTGTATTTTGGTTAAGACAACGCAAATGTTCTTTTAAACGGATCTTGAAATTTCGAAATGTGCGTCCCACATAGAAAGAATGGCAAGATTTACAAGTCAACTTATAAATTCCAGACAAGTCAAAGGGATCTAATTTATCTTTATTATGAACAAATAACTTATGTAATGAGGAGGGGGTTTTGAAAGATACTTTAAAGTGGTCTTTAAGTAAGCTTGCCACTTTATAGGATGTTTTTCCAATAAAGGTAAGAGGAATGTATTTCTTACTGGTGGTTAGTTCATGTACCAAATTAGGATTATTAATATAAACCAAGTTTTGTTAAATTTTATTTTGTTTATGCACAATTTTGAAAAAGAGAAAATCCTTAAAAATAACCTTCCCTAGTGGATGGAGAGTATGGTGAGTTTTTCTATTTTTTACTATTTTATATATTGTGGGCTCAAAGTCATCATACCTTACACCACATATTCTCCTTTCCACTAGGCGAGCCTGAAGATGAAGTGATGTTACTTCGAAACCGGTCGCACTCAATGTTTTGTTGAATAATTAAACATTGACTTTCCTTGTGAGATATAAAGGACTTTTTCTCCCCCCTTCACCTTAAAATTACTTCAACTCACACATGGCTACCCCCCTTGTCAACATTTAATTATTTCCAAAGCTAATTATTACCCACAATTATAATTTTTTTAATATTCTCCAAAGGGTAGTAGATAGTTGTTCATCATTCAATAAGGAAACCAGGTTGATTTAGTAGTTTTATACATTTTAATTATACAGTTTAACTTTTATTCCAATGTTGCTTATATAAGAAATAAAAATGAATAATTATGTTATTTTAGGCAAATAGATGGATGAAGCAAGGTTTAGCCATAGTCCCGCTGAAATGGGTTCTTGAAGTTGGAGCAAATTATACTGTTCTTGTGTCAGTATTTCATGGTGACGGTAGTGTGGCAATATCTCACGGTGGCATAGAAATGGGACAAGGTATTAATACAAAGGTATGCTATCAATTTTTAATAAATGAAAAGAATATTTTTCATTATTTTTGGAATCAAGACTTAAAAATCCTACTATGACTGCGCCAATTCAGCAATCATATATTTTTTAAATTGTTTTTTTTTACACTTTTAGGTCGCCCAAGTTTGCGCGTATAAATTTGGCATTGCTTTAGATCAGGTTTCTATTAAACCCAGTTATTCTTTTGTCGCCCCAAATTCCACCCCTACAGGAGGTAGCTTGACTAGTGAAGCAGTTTGTTATGTAAGTTAAGTTTTAACCAGCAATAATGTTTTAATTATAATTTTTTTGTATCTTTTAGGCTGTAATAAAAGCTTGCGACACAATTTTAAAAAGAATGAAACCCATAAAGGAAAAAATGACCAACCCTACCTGGGTTGACGTTGTTAAACAATGTTTTGGTGCTAATATTCAATTAGCTGCTACTGGATAGTACGTTAAATTATTATTTTATAATCTTGTCCAACTGGCAAAAAAATGACAATTATTGGTTACTAATTTACTGTTTAATATTAAATTTGGGATTTTGTTTCGCCGCCGCGTACCTATTTGAAATTTCAGCATTTGCCACATCTTTTATCGGAGATGGAATCACACTATCTCTTTAAAGTCCGTGATCCATCTTAAATGAGTCTTTATATTATCTGACATCAGTTAATTCAAAGTTATTGTTTAACAGTTTAAAGTTCGAACCAACTACATAAAAAATATTTTTACTTATTGGCATTATTTTTTGTACAGTTGGAAAAGAAACATTTTACTTAATTTTGAAACAATAACCAAACTATCTATTGTTATTTTTTTAGTTACTGGGGAGAGGCGCCAGGTATTCAAAAATACGACATTTTCGGAGTGTGTGCCACTACCGTTCAAGTTGATATTCTAACAGGAAAATACCAAATTTTACAGGTTGATATTATTGAAGATTTAGGAGAAAGTATGAGTCCATTGATAGATATTGGACAGATTGAAGGAGCTTTTGTTATGGGTATATAATTTTCCTATTTTTAAAAAGTAATTTATGTATCTCCACAAATAATCGTAATAATGAATTTATTTTAGATAAAATTTTTAATTTTTTTTTGTTATTGACAGGGTTGGGTTATTACACGACTGAAGAATTGGTTTATGACGAAGAAGGTCAGCTTATGACAAATAGATCTTGGTTTTATAAACCACCTGGTGCTAAGGATATTCCAATAAATTTCAGAATCAAATTTACTGAGAATAGTAAGAATGCTGTTGGAGTCCTAAAATCAAAAGGTTTGTTAATAGTATCTACATTTTTTTTTTATATATATATAAAAAAATATAAACATAAATAGATTGTGATAAATCTATAATTAAAGTATCACGAAAGGCCGTAAAATAATTTACGTTTCTTCATAAAAAAACAGCTTCTAATCAATATTATTGCTCTATGAATCATTTTGAATGAAATATTTTCTTAGCAATTAGGAGAAAACCAAGGGACATATATTGACACATATATTAGTAATCTGAAAGTAAATATTTAAAATTAAATTTTTATTCTAGCGGTTGCCGAACCCCCTATGTGTCTATCTGTTGCTGTGCCCTTGGCCATAAGAAATGCTTTAGCTTCAGCTAGACAGGAAGCTGATTCAAAAAGTTCAAAATGGGTGCAATTTGGTAAGTATAATTACTGGTTATATTTATTAATTTTATAATTATTTTTTTATAATTTCAGATGGACCTACTACTGTTGAAAAAACTTTCATGTATTCTCTGAACGATTTCAAACAATATGTTCTAAAATAAATTTTACCTATTTGAGACCTATTTTAACAATTATTTACTTTCTATAAACACAGAAATGTGTGTATGTTATAATCTATATGTAATCCATTATTAATTATTTACTAAATCACAAAAAATATGTATATTATAATTTAAATAAATAAATGAGCAAGAAAAAACATATTTTCATTAATAATATTTAATTCATATGTACTGATTAACAATTGAACTGAATAATTCTGATTATCTTGAAATATAAATTTTAAAATTTTAAAACATTAAAACACTTGCACTATATATAGCCAAACTATTAGGCAGTTGGACTGGTTTTAACAGCATCTTCAAACATTTATACAGTGTGGAAAAGCAAAATGGAATCAATTCATTATTTCGATTACTGTACATATTTATAGAAAATCCCGAAACACGTCAAATTTAAATTATAAATTGACATTTTTTAAAGTGAAAATGTGATCCCTACCTTCAACCCTCTTTGAGTAACAGTTACAACCCCTAATTTTTTAAATGGGAAGTATAGGCTTGTGACATATCGTTTGAAAGATCTCTTCATTCTCTATCCAAAAATGTTATTGTTTTTAAATATATTGCAAAAATTAATATAAAAAAATATAAAATAACTGATAACCGAAATTTTTTACAATACACTCAATATGTAATATTTAATTGTTCATAATGTAAAAAATATGAATGTCAATGAAGTAGATGTTCAAAATGCTCACTGCGTCTTGGCAACATCCTAATCTTGAATAAAAATGTCTTCTTACGTTAATTAACATATCAGGCGTGACCGATCTAATCGCAAGCATTATTCGTTCTCTTAAGTCATCTAAATCACGTGGTTTAGTTTTGTAAACAATATTTTTCACATAGCCCCATAAAAAAAATCTAATGGGGTAAGATCAGGTGATCTTGCTGGCCATTCTATTGATCCTCGCCTCCCTATCCAGCGATTTGGAAATGTTAAGTTGAGGTACTGGCGGACATTGATTTGGTAATGTGGAAGTGCTCCATCTTGCTGGAACCATATGGTATTTGCTGGAACTTGAGGGTTTCCTGAATCAGGAAATAAATTTGCCAAACTTGGCACCACATCATTTTGCAGTAGTGCTAAATAATTATCGCCATTCAAATTCCCCTCAAATAAAAAGAGACCAATAATATGGTTTTCAACAATCCCTGCCCAAACATTAACCTTTTGAGGGTATTGTGTATGGACCTCTCTCATCCAGTGAGGATTTTCCGTTGACCAGTACCCGCAATTTTGACGATTAGCATGACCGTTAACGGAAAAAGTGCACTCATCAGAAAACGTAACGTTTTCTAATTGGATGGTATTGTTATTCAACATTTCCATCATTTGTTCCCAAAAATTTGTTCTCCTATCAAAATCGTCTTCCATGAGTTCCTGAGTCGGTATCGTTTTATAGGGATGCATTTTAGTTTCATTTAATATGTTTAGTATCGATGTATGGCTGACATTAAATGTTGCAGATGCTTGTTTACTCGATGTATGTGGGTTTTCCTCAAACTCAAGTATCATAATCTAATTTGATATCATCACTCAGTGCATTGGCAGCTGTTTTTTTATCTGCTTTACGTGTCCAAATTCGCGAAATTGCTTCTCTATTTTACTAATTAAACCTTGAGATATAGGCGGCAAATTCGGAAATTTTTCATGAAATAGGCGAGCAACTTCCATTTGTGTTCGGGTTTATCTCCGTTTATCTCCGTAACCAATCATCTGTAAAACTGTTACTTTATTAATTTCTGTTAATCTAACCATTTTTATGAAAGTCAAACGACAATTATAATATTGACAATATCCTGCAGTTATAATTATTACAAACCAATTTGCTAAGGCGTTTTAAACAAACTAACATTGCTATGATAGTTTTTTAAAGGATTTTTTTAAATTGATATTAAAAAAGAACACTGGTTTTTGCTTAGGTACTGTCTTATTATAAAGACTGAAACGGGAAATAGTAGTGTAGGTACTCTATAGAGTTTCGGTAATAAGATAATTTTATTTTTTTTATGTTAATTTTTGCAATAAATTTAAAAACAATAACATTTTTGGATAGATAATGAAGAGACCTTTCGAACGATATATCACAAGCCTATACTTCCCATTTAAAAAATTAGGGGTTGTAACTGTTACTCAAAGGGGGTTGAAGGTAAGGATCACATTTTCACTTTAAAGAATGTTAATTTATAATTTAAATTTGAAGTGTTTCGGGATTTTCTATAAATATGTACAGTAATCGAAATAATGAATTTATTCCATTTGGCTTTTCCACACTGTACAATTGGCTTATGAGTTGTAAAAAGTTAAGTAATTCCAAATTATTGAGCAGTGTATATATAAAACATTATCGTTACCATATATGGATTCAGTATTATGGTAGAAGGGTAATTAACAAATATTTTAAAAAATTGAATAGCGTTGTTTTAGTTAAAAAATATGCTACTATTTAAAACAAGTATACGAAAAATAAAACTGGTGTATTTATATCTTGAGGTTCCTCAAATAGACTTCATATTTAATAAAATAAAATCTTTCAGTCTCGTAATCAATTTTTATTAATTTTTTAGTTTTGTGACATAAATCATGACATACATTTTAGTATGCTGCTTGAGGTTATAGGAAATTACCTTCTAAATTTCAAAAAGGTTCTATTGAAATTTTAACTTTATTAGCTAATAAAAAAGAAACCAATAACTCCAAAATCAACTAGCAAATAAACTAATTAACATTTCTTATTTCTATTTTTAAAGTAGTCAGATTTTTTTTTAAACATAGCAATATATGTCTTGACTGAACCTTATTTTTAATAATTATATCGCGATTACTCTGACTACATACAGCAGCTGTTGCTTTTATTACCAGGCGAACGCAATGTTGCACTGGTTAAGTATTACATGATAATATTAGAACATTAGAAGGACTTTGACTGAATATTAAATTAAGATTCATATCCATATGAATTGTTAGTGGTGGTTTAGTAACACTTATATGGTTCTAAAAAATCAAATCCGAATATTACTCGGCATCAAAACGTATCACAGGGATATTAAACTCCCGTATCGTTTATCTACCTTTTTGCATTTAGGATAAGTCTCATACCAAGTTGCCTGTATTTCAGATCTTTATTCGTAAGCATTGACAATAATAAATGTTCTCCAGATGCGCGAAAAAATCCATTACGTTGAATAATAAGGTTTTTCAGGTAATAAGCTACATGATTTGATTAACTGGAATAAGTGTCTTGTTCCATCAACACATGATGGTCGAAGTTTCACTCTAAACCAGAAGGAGACAAAGACATTGGTTTTGTAAGTTACAAACAGACAAAGACCTTTATCTGAAAGTTCAGTTGCTACGTAAAGCCTCATAAATTCGTTAGCTGTTGTAAACCATATAGCATAGTTTTTCTGGATTTATTAAGGGCAAAGAAGAAGATACATTTTCAATTTCAACTGATTACACTATGTCCAACAAATACTACTGATCTGTACTTAAATCATATCTGTCGCGATACAGCTGTGGTAGATTTTCATTCTTTTAAACTTTACTATGGGAAAAGTGTCGCAGGATTCTAGCATTTGCCCAATTGTACCTTTGTGTAAGCGGTGACCTGAAGTATTACCATCAATTTATTTAAATAGGTGTCGCAGGGGAAGCTCGTTAAGTTTAAATAAGCAACTAAACTATTGCATAGGACAATTTAGTTCTTTCTCTAACACAGGAATTATCCCATTTTTTGCTCCAATATTTACTACTGATCCAATATCTGATCCAACAACAATTAAGCTATTTGAATTAAAATTTTGGGTGCAGAAAAAGTATAATTGATGCTTTGATATTTGAAGCTATATATTGGAAACCTGGTTTACTAACCAAAGATATATGTTCTTTTGTGATACGCCGGCGTTTATTGACAGTAGTTTCAGGAATTAGTGTTTATTCCTTTCTGTTGTTAAAGTATAAACCGATAAAAGGAGGTTTTTTTCGTAGTTTTGGACATACAAAGTTCTCGTTGTGCTCTTCGGGCTCTTCTGATTTTCATTTTGTATATTGTCATTGTGACATCTTCCAAAACAGCTGCACGATCTGACACCCTATTTTTATCACAGGTAAGCGCCACAGATGGCAATTTTACTCTTATTTGTGACAAACTTTTGTTCTTTGGTTTAATTTTGACTAAAAAAAAAATAAAGAAAAATATTTGTTTTGCCTAGGTTAAATGTAGACTGATTAAGAAATAGGATTAACTAAACTTACCTAAAACATCATCTGAATCTCGATCTGACCTTTCATTAGAAATAGCCTTTTCCTCTTTTTGGCTAAGGGCAGCTGCTTTTGAATGCAATTTTAGATTCCTTCTGGTAGGTTGTCATTTTTGGTTTTATTTCACCGGAACAAAAATACTATAAATAAATTTTCAAAATAAAGTTAAGGTAAATCTACGTAGAGATTTAGCAACACTACTATTAGATTCAGCGTCGTCCTCTTTACTATCTTCACTACTAGAACTGCACATTAAAATTTTCTTCTGCGTATCTACACAACTACAGCTAGGTTTTTGGTCTTTTTCTTCAAATAAGCAAGTTATTGTAGCCTCATTCTTTGCATTTTCGTACAATTATATATACTGTTTCTATTGCCACGACTCTTTTACTTTTTTGGTCAGCTAGAAATGCTTGTTCCCTTTAGGGTATTTTTGTTTTTTATTTTTCACACTTAAGTTTTTAAAACTAACTTTTGCAAGTAGCTATATTAAATAACTTGCAGATTTCTTCTTTAAATTACTCTAATGTTAGTTGAATTGTTTCCTTCCAACCACACCACATTTACTTTAACAATATATTTTTTTAAATGTTTTGGTACATTTACCACATTTTTTAAGCTTGGGGCACGTCAGAATCTTCCCCAACAGGCACAATGAAAAACTTTTTAATTTATAAGGATTTTAAATTATATCAGATAAATAGCTTAGTGGAGTCTCTTTTCGAGTCCACCTTTTTGGCTGTCGAGTTTACAACTGACTTCCTTATTTAATTTTCATACCTAATTTTTTCAATATTGCCGATCTGCAAAATTTTTCGTAGTTTAATCAAACTTAAATTACTTGGTTAATAACCTGACATTATTTT